AGTTTTATATCAAGAACGAAAAATATTGCTTTTGTAGCCTTAGAAAATGAAAAACTAGCTTACTGCCTCGACTGAGCTGAAAAAGTCAAGGAAAACCCTAGACAGAATCCATGGACCACTTGAGCAGTAGAGGTGTTGGGTTGCAGCCTTTTAGCTCCCCTTAGCCCAGCATGGATGCTTTTTTGCATAGTATACGTGCTTATTTATGCTGCTTTATGTAAACTTCGTGACTTTGTGTGCTACATTTTTTTTTGTACGTTTCTGTATTCAGTGGCGTAATTTAAGTGGGTTTCTGTACTTGTATGTTTTGTTTACAGCATAAACATTCTATGTGTTTGTTGCTATGTGCTTGCTTATATATTATGAGTGTATGTTCTAAATAATATATAGGGCCTATATTTGTCTACGTTTTCGTATTTCGCATAGATAGTTTTACGAACTTCTCTCTCTATTAGCTCAATGGTTCCCAATTAGTGGTACGCGTACCCCTAGGGGTACGCGCGGCAATCTAAAATCGGTCGATTTAAAATTTAAATGCACGAGATGAAGCAATCAAAGAAATAATGGGTGGACCATCAAAAATTCGGCAATATACAACATGATGTCGAATGCACAAATTCGTTTATTTATAATTAAAAATATTCTCGAAATTTCATTTTTAAAAAAATGCATTTGTGCCAATACCTAAATGAAATTCTTACGCAAGAAACAAAAGTTGTACAATTAACATAATTTGTGTTAATTGTACAAATATCGTTATTAATGTGTCAGCGAAGCGGCAATAAAATATATACTACCATTTCGCACAACATACCTCTGCGAGAGCGGATTTTCGGCCATGACAAACGTGAAAACTAAACATCGAGTTGAAATTGGCGACTTCAACTCGAAGATGACTTGAGATTGAAGCTGACCAAAAAGCAACCAGATTTTACAAAGTTGTGCAAAGAAAATCGTGCACATTTGTCACATTAAAATTAAATAACCTTATGTTATTTTCATTATTATTAGAATTGTATTTTAAAGGTAATAAATGTAAAAAAAAAA